ATTTAATAAAAATTTATCACGGAGATGCAGTTCTTTTAATACGGACAGTTCTCGTTGAAAGTTGCCACAACTCTTGGCAGAAAATTATAATACACTTAAGAGGATTTTAATGCCGTGTTATACGCGAGACTTTTGTAATTTTTTAACACGATGTTTCGAAATAGTTAATTTTAATGTCACAGGTATTTCTGTATTCCCAAAAACTTTTTTAATAATTCAGGCGATTTTTAAATCTTCTTGGAATAAATTTTGGCAAAAATATTTTCTCCTTATTAATTTAAAAAATCACCTTTCAGATCTTTAATCGATCTCCATTTACCAAAAAATTTCTCCAAAATAATATAATTCTGCCATCAAGATATTTAACATCACATAATTTTACTCTATCAATGAAACTTAGGATCTACCAATTTTTAACCTCTTTTCCAAAAACAAATTTTTTTTAATTAACTAAATCATTCCTTCACGAAATTAATTTCCACGTATTTAAATTCAACCTAAAAATTTTGGAATAGAATTTTATTTAATAACTAAATAATAATTAATAACTAGAAAAAATTTCCTCGCGAAATTAATTTCTATCTAAAAAATACTGCATAATTGACAGGAATAAGAGACACACCGATTGTGGGAACAAATATTTGCAAAATGTCGAAAAAGAAAATTACTCTAGGAATTACCTCGAAATTACTGCTAGTGAATTTTCACGCGACTGTCGCCCGTTAAAATGAACTTCCTCGAAATGTTCCACGAAGGGTGTTGTTTCGTGAAAGCGTATAACTCGGTGATACCAGAGGAGAACGATAACGCTTCGGGGTGGGATACAATGTAAATTTTGTTTGCCCGCGAATGTAAATGGCGGCGTTATTCAGAGATTCACTTAGAGACCTGGCTGGCTCCGTTGTACAGTCTTGAACGTTGGTAAAAGATATGTAGAGCGAGAAATGTTCACATAATAATAAGCACTCAAATTAAAAGAGAAACAACGAACACCTAATACGAAAAATGTAATAACCCCCGACAAGATTAACATGAGATAAGTTATAACTAAAGATATACAGGAAATATTTAAAAATATCGTAATTCAATGTTTAATTTAGTGTGGCATTACGCCTACTTTTCCGAATTCAGATCTAATATACCTTAGGCTTTTTATCCACTTTTTCCATCATTTTCCTCTCTTCTGTCTTTCCGGTGAGCAACGAGTAGGGTTAGGACTTTGCGTAGGTTTAATATCTCCAAGGACGAGTTAGTTAGGCGAAAGAGGGCAGAGATGAGATAATTATTTTTTCATTTTACGACTGGATCATATTTAGACGTTAAGTGAGACCGATTTTGCTGATGAACTCGATGAAATTTCGGAAAATGAGGAATATATAACGCGCACGTATGGTTTTATATGTTCAATATTTTTGAGATTATGGTTCAGCTAGTTGAGGATGAATTTATCGAGGAAGAATATAGTTACTTTTTATTTTACAGTTAAGATGTTCGTTTAAAATTTATTTAATATAAATTTGTAAATATTTTATGGGATATTTGATAATATTATCATTTTACCACCACAATGTGTGCATTTTAGAATCATGATTGAATTAAACTCTTCACGCACGAATTTTTTAAGTAACATAATATAAAATACTGGAAAATACGTTCAAACTGTTAGAAAAATAATATCCACGTATTAAAACCAATGTTGAATTAAATACGAATTAAACAAACATTTATCCACACCCGTTAATAAATTAAACATTTACAGATTATTTAATCGATTAAAAATTTTTCACCGAAATATCTTTATCGAAAATTCGAAAATTTCGGTACCACTGTATAAGGGTTTATGATATTTAGTAAAAATCCTTAGAAGCAACCTTGCACATTAATTATAAAGAGATAAAAGGTTGAAAGGTAAAGGTATAAAGAGTACAGAAAGTCAGTATCTCCACGGGATACAGTAAAGCAATTTCCGTAGTCTGCAGCGAAAATTCTTGGAAATAATTTTTCACATTAATTACGAAAGAAGTCAAAGCCAAAGGTTGAAGGATAAACAAGTAAAAAGCAGGAAAAATCTGCTTATTTCTTATTTCTTTCCTTTTATCAAATACAACGCGAAGATTTTTGTCAAGAAATGAAAAGAGTAAAATTGAATCCATGAAGTTCTACGAAAGTTCTCTAGGCGATAAGGTCGTATAAAATAGAAAATAGCGTCTGACGTAAAAACACCGAACGCAGTTCGCGAAATTTTATAAAAGATTCTTTGGGCGGGTGTAAGATAGAAAATAGAAGCCGCCACGCGAAAGTTCAAGATAGCCTAACATACTTCGAAACTTCTTAACAACCCTTGCTTGAAATTTATTTAAAAACCATCTCAAACGCAATTTTCGTCCCACGACGTTTAACGCCACTTTGCTGCCATTAAAATTATTCTCGACTCTAATCGTGGTATAAATAAAATAGAGGAGCAACAAATTTTACCAAAGTATAGATAAACTGTCCATTAAAAAACTGAGAGACAAAATGAATACGAAAAATGGTGTCTCTTTATAGTCATTAATTAAATCTGGAAAAAATAAATGTTAAAAATAAAAACAGAAGAAACACTGAAAATGGTAATTCTTTGTTCTTTTGTTCTAATGTACTTCTGTAATCATTAAAATTATCCTTAATTCTGATCATGATATTAATAAAATACAGAAAGTGGTAAAGTCATCAAGAAAGATAAAGAACAAGATGAAAAGAAAAGGAATTAAAATAAAAATGGTAATTCTCATTTCTCACGTGATTATACAATATTATACAAGATTAACGAAACGAAGAATGCAAAATCTGAAAGTCGAAATAAAAATGGCAACTTTTATACTGCTCCACGGTTACCAAAATTACCCTCCGCTCCGCCCACGCCGTAGATAAAACAGAAAGGAAAACACCTGGCTAAAACGGAACCGCGAACCAAAAAAGAAAGTAAAATAAAAGAAGCCAAGCCCAAAAACGTTAATCTCCACTTCCCCGACGTCATTCAACACCCACTAGTCCCGCCAAAACTAAATCTGCACAGTTCCGAAAAACTGCAAAAATAAAGCGAATAAATACTAGAAACTCCCTAGTATAGGGGAGCTTTTACCGAGAAAAATAACAAAGCAAATCCGAATCGAGGAGAGTGAAAACAACGTCGAATAACAAAGGTCCATACTTCGGGGAAGAAAGATATAAATTCGTCGGTTGTGTTGGCTGAAGGCAGGACTTCGATATCCCGGGTATCCCCGTTATCGCGATCCTCTCCCAGAGCAATTACCGAGAAAAGAGCAACGAGGCCCGGGCATCCTGGCTCACCGGCGACCACGGCTTCCGGCCGTGGGTGTGTAAGTCCACCGCCGAAATGGTTTCGTTTCCGGTGCAGTCCTCCGGCGTTTCGCGTGAATCGATACGGCGAGCAGATAAGCCGAGGCGGGTAAGTCGAAGGGTCGCATTCGCGGGCGCAGGCCACCCCCGCGTGTCGTTCCGTTATCTGACGCTTAATTACAGTCCAGCGAACTGTCGTTCCGCCCCTTCGACCGGCTTAAATTCGGGGCTCGCGTTCAACCACCGAAGGGCGACCACGGGTTTGTAAAAATAGACGGCTGCGTTATCCGCCGCTTTGGGGTGGAAGTGGATGGTATAGATGAGAGGTTAGGGTGTGTAATTACATTTCAAATTATTATGTGCGGATTTCTTTGTGGATTTATTCAAATTGTCGCGTATGGTGCTGGATGCTATAGATGAGAGAGGTTAGGTTCTATAATTATATTTTAATTTATCGCGTGCGCTTTTATTCCACGATTGATTAAAATTTTTACCCTGTATGTGAGAGAGGGTTGTATAATTATATTTAAAATTATTACATGAGAGTTTACTTGTGAATTTATTAAAATTGTTATTGTGCATATGGGAGAGGGTAGGTTGTATAATTAATATTTCAAATTATTATATGTGGATTTAGTTGTAGATTTATTAAAATTGTTACTGTGTGTGTGGGAGAGGGTAAGTTGTATAATTATATTTAAAATTATTATATACAAATTTATTTGTGAATTTATTAAAATTGTTACTGTGCATATGGGAGAGGGTAGGTTATATAATTATATTTAAAATTATTATATACAGATTCATTTGTGAATTTATTAAAATTGTTACTGTGCATATGGGAGAGGGCAGGTTGCATAATTATGTTTAAAATTAGTATATGAGGATTTACTTGTAGATTTATTAAAATTGTTACTGTGTGTGTGAGAGAGGGTAGGTTGTATAATTATATTTAAAATTATTATATACAGATTTATTTGCGAATTTATTAAAATTATTACTGTGCATGTGGGAGAGGGTGGGTTGTATAATTATGTTTAAAATTCTTATATGTAGATTTACTTGTGGATTTATTAAAATTATTATTGTATATATGGAAATGAATGGTCTAAGTGGTAGGGGTTGGAATGTATGGTTATATTTAAAATTATTGGATATGGATTTATGAAATTGCTTCAATAAAGTGGTTTAATAATTTTGCAATTTGGGGTAGTTTGAATTTTTTTAGATTATGGAGGGCTGCGTTATAATTGTGGAGAGTTTGTTTGGAGTTGAAGAGGTTTACTTTTGCATAAATTTAAATAATACTTTTACCAAAGGATCAGTAATCTAAAAAATGTGAATATATAGGAATATGCTAAAAGATAATCTTATATAAAATCTTAGATAAAAGAAATTAAATTAAATCTCCAAATATTTCGAATAAAACTAAAAACCTCTAATATTGACGAAATTAAATCATGCAGCTAAAAAATTTGAAAAATGACTGATCATAATATTAAATACAACGCGTTCTCTTCAAAAACTGATAGGAAAAGGGAGAAAGATGAAACACCACCCAGCAGGATGCACCTGCATTATTACAAAACCAATTAATCAATATACCATGGCTAACATTTCCAAAGGAAGGACACATTAAAGTAATGAAGAATATTTCGCGGCAACGTTAATTACGTTATTAACTTTTTAATTCCTTATATTAAATACACGGTAACTAATACATTAATTAAATACCCGCCGGAAATACAGCGTTCTCTGTCCGTCCTAAATGCAGTCACGAGTCATGGAACTTCCAGGGCAAAAATTTCTATTCATTCTCTTCCCTTGCGAGGACCCGTTTTCCACGAGTTTTCGTTCCTTTTATTAATAAAAGAAGAAAACGTAATACTTCTTACGTCTCGTCGGTCTCGCTGGGTCTGGCCAACGTGAAATCCAGGATCTCGTCGGACGTCAGAAATCGAACGTCACTGTCCTCTGAAAGAGCTGACCCGTTCGTTCCACGTTTGTACGTCTTCCTTCGTCTTAGGATGATGATCACGATCATCAACGAGATCGACAGCCAGACCACTACACCCACCACCACACCGATGATCCCTAACATGCTGAAATTCGTCGCGGCACGATGTACCTGCTCTGGATCTTGCCTTCTCGCGTCTAAATCTGCGGAAAACAGAGACCCACATTTTCTTAGCTTCTAGATTGCCTTCTGAAGAGACCCAAGAAAGTTTTCGATTTTAATTAGGATTTTTTCGGGTAAAATTTGTGTCGGATCGAAGAGTAAGTTTGTTATTATCGTTTGTTAAAATTTGCCATTTTCTTGGTATTCGATCTTCATTTTGAACCTTGTCAAACCTCGACAAACCATTCGAGATGGAATAAAGCTGCAATGTGTACTCAAATATGGTATACAAAAGTAATTATAACGATAATTCGAGTAGTTTCTCATTTTTCCCATCTCAAACCGAGTCGAACATCATCAAACCGGTTGAAAAATATTATCAATACTGAAATTATCAACCTATCATGTGTGATCAAATATTATACACAGAGAAAATAAGAATAATTAAGATAGTTTCCTATTTTTCCCATTTGAGACATCGTCAAACCTCGTCAAACCTCGTCAAACCTCGTCAAACCTCTACAAACTTATCCAAAAAGATTAGTAATTTAACCGGATCTACAATGTGTATCCAAATATAGCATTCACAGGCTATAATAAATAAACTAGTATAATAAAAATACGTATATACAATATCGAAATTAATTCCTCCAAAAGCAGCTGCACGTTTCAACAACCACGAGGAACAAACGAGTCACTTGGACCCGGTGGTACCGGTATCAAACAACCCGAGAAGTATACACACGATAACCACCCCGTGTCCAAACACACGCAAGGCCAACTACCCTAGCAAAACTACCCTAACGTAATCCAACCGAGGCATAATCTAAATTCCAAACGCCACCTCTGTCAGCTCCGGTTCCCTAGCTTCCACCTCTCTCTCTCTCTCTTTCTCTCCTGAAAGTTCATTGAAATTCCCAAGACTCGACACAAAGGGGGCACATTCCTCCATCAGACGCCCGTTCAAACTTTCATAATCAAACGAGAACAAGAATTCGTGTTACCAGGTTTCTCGTCCACCGGAGCGTATCTCGTAGTGAGACTGGTCGGTCGAACAAATGGCGTCTCCTTTGTCTGAGTAGTTCTCGTAGTGGCGACAGTCGTTGTGATACGTTTAGTACTCTTGGTCGGTTTCTCGACCTTCTTTCTGGTCGTATTCGGCGTCGGTTTCACCGTTGTGGTCGTCCACGGCCTCGACGTGACAGGGTCGATATCGTCCTTCGGATTCATCGAGAAACCAGTTCTGACCGTGCCCATTTCGGTCACCGCGTCCTTCCTAGTTGGCGCCACCGTAGCTGGCCCCTCGTGATTGGCGGTCGTCCCTTGCTCGGTGGTCACGGTCATTCCCTCGGTGTACCCTGCGAATTAAAGGGCTCGAGATAATTAGGATAAACATCGAGGGTCGCGTTAATTGCGATCCTGGACCGATTCCTTGGATTCGAGGGAACGTTTCTTTTTAATTAGTCACCTTCTCACAATCGATGCTATTCTTGGAATGGATCTTCATCGCAGTTAATTGAATAATTTGCTCATGAAAGGTATTTCGTTGGAGTTTAATTCTATGTTTAGAATGGCGACTGAAGTGGCTTATGTGGCGGTAAGAAGAAAGGTGGAGTACGTAACGAAACAAAAATATTGTTTGCAATGTGTGTTAAACCTTTGCATTTCACTGTGGAGTCCCATTACAGAGACATTGGTAGCCTGTAATTTCTTGGTTGATTTTATCTTTACAGATGAAGATGAAAGAGTAACTAAAACTGAACTAAAAGTGTCTTTTTGGAAGAAAATTTTCTAAGAAAGCTTCTAAGTTTCAGTGATTTGACCTAAACATCGATAACTTATTCTAAGCTCAGTGATTAGGTCAAGAATTTTCAACCAACGTGTTGCAATAATTTTTACGTTTATCGTGTAATCCTTTCTTGGTTTACCAAATTAAAAAATTGTAAAAATTCTAATCTGCTTCGAAATTTTAATTAATTTGTACGTACCCTAAAATAAAATGAATTAAAAATCCCTGCATCGTGTTACTAGTAATAATCTAACTATTTATATGAATATTAATCAACTTAATTGCTGATTTTAAATAATTTTTATTTCATTTTAAAGGCACGGTGAGGAGATAAATTAAGAATCCGAGGAAATAAAATTCTGAAAGTTGCATCAGTCTAATGTACTCACCCAGAACGCAGTATTCCGCATAATCCGGACAGCAGATGGAGTGTTCGCTGCAATCGAGGGTGCAGAAGCAAATGTCGGTTTGCGTGGGCGGCATCGAACTTGTAAAATTGTATGTCACACTATTTTTACATCTTCCACGGCAACTTTGCTGCGCGTTCACCTCTTCGATTTGATCTAGAAACCATTCGTTTCAAACGAAGATATAAATCTTATACCCATAGAAGAAACGGAGAATTATTCTTTCGAAATTCCCCGACTATTAATTGCTAAAATACAGCCTAACTGTACGCCATATAATAACTTCTGCTAGACCAGTTGTCCAATATATTTTCTCTTTTATATTTGAGTTTAGAATTTGCCTTATGTAATATGTTCAATTAATATACAAATATTATATTAAATTTCCGATATTTCAAGAAGCTCCTGCTTTTCTCGTTTAAAATATAAATTTTCAATTTCAATTCAATGTTAGGGAAATGAAAAATGGAGAATGTATATCAGTAAAGAGATTAGTACGACATTTAAAAAATTATACTTATAATATTGGTTGAGAGTATCATCAATCGAGGATATTTGATAGACAGGAGCTTCGAAATCAGTCATTTCGAAATTGAAATGTAATTTCGAATATGAGAGTGTAGTAAACACGCCTATTAGCGACGCATGAAATACAGATTAATTGCTAATTACGTTATGTTAATATGCTATTAAATGGTAATATCGAATTATACGATAATTGGATTATTAAATCGATAAGCGAAACGTAGGAGAAAATGTTTGATCGCGATGAAAAATTATTACTGACTAGAGAAGGAATCATGGCTGACTTACATCGGCTTAAATCATGCCACGTTAAGGCCATGATTTCTTCCACACGCGTGCGAATCATGAATCCACGAGTGTTTTTAGATATTCCATTCATTTATATTATATACACGCGTTATCCAGTTTATGTGGTAATTCAGCTGCATTGCTGTGAGTGTAAATTTAATTGATTATGCTCATTGAGTTGATTATATTACTGCGACGAAATACGAAAGAACATTTTATATCGAAGCTATTGATTTTAGTATCTATATCTGTTAAACATTTTTATTTCTCTCGACAAGTACCATCAGCCTTTACCCCATTGGCTTTCTTTTCACTTTTAATGTATAAAAACGTAGATATATTTTTCTATGATAATTTAATACCAGTATAAGAACAAAGATAATATAATTTCTCAAGAGAACACGAAAAATTAATCAAATTATGAATAAAATATTTCAAAAAGATTAAGTTTCTTCGCTTCCACACATTTTTGATGGATATTTTTATTCTTCAAAATTCTAAGATCCAGAAATATACTGTTTAATATTAAAATTTAATAAATATATATACTTGATTATAATTTAATAGAAATAGGTCATTAATAACAAAAAAGTATGAAAATTCGGTGAAAGTTATTATTACGAACAGCTTTTGAAAAGTGTGTAAACTGTATGTTCAAATACTGTTGCAACTGTCTCGCATTGTAATCGTCTGCACTATAACCTCTGACATAAAACTGTCCAGTATTTTAAAACCGCTAAAGTGCTTTCAGACATTAAAAGTGAAAGAGATCTCCAATAAACCTTCACGCCGGGGCCAGTGCAACAAATACCGCAGGCAAAGCCATCTTAAAAAAAAAATAATCGAAAATCGATATCAGACGTTCGTTTAGAAACAATTATTAAACTCTGTCCGCGCTGTAAAACGATTTATCTACCTGCATTCTTAATAAGCCGAACGTTGGCACTCCATTGTGCGTTAGTTCCGAAACTTACCACGCGGCGCGCCGTTGTTTCCGCGTTCGAGCGGCCATTGTTGGCCGTTTTAATTAAAAGATAACTCTCGAAGACGAACGAGCAACGAATGAACGTAGCTCGGACGTCTCTTTCGCTCTAAGAAGAAGAACCATTTGCACGAATTACCTTCGTCGCCTTCGGTCACCCCCTCGTTCTCCGTCTTGTTCACACTTCGACACTTGCTGCCCTGCAAGATGGCCACGTCGTCAATGGCGATATCGCTCACGTAGCTGCTGCCTCGTACACCCTCGATTATGATCTGGAGACAAATAAGAAAGCTTATAGGGATAAGGACGAAATTCGTCAGCGTTTTACGTTTGCTTTATACGTCTTACCTGGAAACTTCTGTTGGACTTTGGAAGATTGAAAATGCCGTGCAGCCATTGGTTCCCTTGGTCACCCTCCTCGTTGAACATCAATCTAGGAACGAGATCGTTATCCTTCTTGAAGTAGACGTTCAGAGCACCCACCGTGGCGCCGAACATGTGGTACCTGAAAATTTATTTCTCGTGTTAGACAAGATGGTGAAAGAACGGTATAACCGATCGGGAATTTCGAGATAAGTAAATATATTGAGCACATAAACGACGTGGAATGGACGATAACTCGAGACAAACTATCTAGTTTAACTTAATTTAATTAATTCCCTCGTTAATCTTTTTCCCTGAATTTTCAGCTAATTTTGTATTGCAAAATTAAATACGGGCAGAAGATAATTCATAAATAACTCAAAATTAATTCCGATGAAATAATTCACGAACACCCAATCGGGTTTATCTATTTGCAGCACGTGAGATCGTTTATTCAAATAACGATCGAGGACACGGTCGTCCTCTGATCCAGCAATCACGTGACCTGTAACAACGTCCAACGCAGCAATTACCCGTGGAAACGCGTGATTTTGTTCGAATAACGCGTCGGATCCGTGTGATTATTCGTCACCTTTGGTCGATAAATACTCTTTCGCACGAGTGCACCCGATGGGACTGCAATTTTTATTTATTTTCAGACACGTCTCGTAAAACGGAAAACAGGAAGGATGCTCAAAACACGAACGCTACAAAAATAGAAACGTTCGTTTAATCCAGGATTGCGTTTTTAGTCGGGACTCGGCGAAACGGTCGAAAAACTTTCCGAAGCAGCTTCGACTTGCATTTCCGGCGTTTCTAGAGGAAATCTCCGAGTTGCTTTACCAGAACGAGAAACAACCACCATCCGTGTACGACGCGTTGTACATGGGTGAGATGAGTCTCGCTGTGTCGTTCACCAGCCGACCGGAAGCCTCGATGTACATGTAGTAACCTGGAACACAGAGGATTGAATAATCGAACGTCAGGTTTGAAAATTTTCTAGTTTCTTCAAAAAGAAATTTTTGACAATGTTAATACACGTATATGAAAAGCTGAGAAAATTTACTTATTTCTCTACCCCTCGATTTTTGTCAAATCTTTTGGTTGAATGTTTGCAAAATTTCTCATCGAATATTTGCGAATTTTTTGATTGAATATATGCAAATTTCTAAATAATCGCTTAAAATATTTAAATTATTGCATTTTCAATAAAATTCCTGATTCTAGGACAAAGCATTGACAACTAATTTTTTAATAAAATTTGTAATAATAATGTAACAATTAGAAGCATGAAAATTGTACTCTGGTTATAAAGAAAATTATATTCTACGATTATATTAAATATTTTATAGTATAATTATATCAAATTGCATTCTGAAAATAATTCAGAGTCTTCGCCTAACTTAATTGACTTCTCCTCGTTAATAACTATAGTAAGAAGCTATACTCGGTTGCGAAACTGCAATTTGATATTGAAAATTAGAATAAAAGTTTGCCTAATTAAATTTCAGGTTAAAAATTCATCGGACAAAGAAGCACATAAAGAACCCGAATATGGACGATAATAATTCCTCAATTTTGTACTTTGCTGAAAAATGTCGATTTTATTTATTGCGTAACTGGTTAAATTATTGTTTCAGCTTGTGGGAATAAAATTTCACGCGAAAGTGAAGATATTACCGTCGTTTCCTGGCCCCAGGGTGTGATCGTGAGTTGGACCAGTGCCTATGTGGAAACTTGGGGTCTCGAAGTTCTGTCGTCGCCAATCGAAATCATGGCGAGGATCCTGCTCCCACCAGCAGAGATCCGGTTTCTCGAAATTACATTGCGTCGGAGCTGCCGCAGTGGTATCTAATTAACAATAAAATTCTATAATTCCATCTGAACGATTCTGCAAGACCCGAATGATTCAATTCTCTAACGAATATACAAAGGAATATATTCCCGAACTAATTTTAACTAATTTTTTCCTTTCCTTATTTTCCTAAATTCGTTTCATTAATATATTCAAAATTCCAATACGTCGTCCATAATTTTCCTATAAACTCATTTATATTCCCCACCCTGTATTCCAGTATCTCGAAAACCTGATTCACGTTCTTAGCTTCCTTTCTCTCCGTCCAGATTGTTCTAAATGATCACATACTAATTTTCTATAATATTTAAAGCAAGGCTTTATTTATTACAGTAGATTCGAAAAATCAGTGAATCGGGAAAAATAATTGAATAACGATATGAACGGATATTCAAAAATAGAATAAAAATAATAAAAATGGAAGGAAATCAAAATAGAATAAATGGAATAAAAATAATAAAAGTAGTATGAAATCAAAATAGAATAAATAGAATAAAAATAATAAAAATAGTATGAAATCAAAATAGAATAAATAGAATAAAAATAATAAAAATAGTATGAAATCAAAATAGAATAAATAGAATAAAAATAATAAATAACAAATTAAAAGACTGAAAGATGACACGAGTATTTTCTTTTCAGTTTTTGTTATATAAATGTGGATTGTTTCTAGAGAACATTCGCCATTTGTTTCAACGGCAATTCGTTCAAAATGACGGACTGGACAGGTGGCGCCTCTGGTCAGATATCTCCCCGGTTAACAGATCAAGCGATGCGATTCAACAGGTTTGAAGACCACAGGGGAAAACCGTGATAACTGTCGCACTCTATTGTAGAAGAGTAGTTTTAAAATTCAACGTGCTGTCGACTAATCCCATGACACCGAAACTTCGTATTTTCATTTGCTCTCCAGATTGAATACGCGTCTCTTTTATGCTGTTGAATATTTTACTAATATTTATCGTCGTAAAATTATTTATATCGTTGAAAACCTTTCGCAAAATTTAATTTCTTTTTGCTTTAATTACTGTGGAACATAAAAATCCAAAAATACATAATAACATTGTTCAATACACGTGATAACATAAATTTTAGTATAAAGGAACCTAGAGTCCTTGGAGTCTTTTGAAATAGAAAATGTTAGCCTTGTGAAAGTAGAGTGTTAAAATTTAGTATACCGATCTGTATTCAGTATCATAAGACACTGATACAGTGTCAGTACCTTTGTTCTATTTTAGACAGGAATATACATATACTCAATTAACGGTATATGAAAAAAAAAATATATATATATATATATTACCACGACAGTGAGGTGTTGTGCCATTCCACTGTCTTCCATCGCAGAAGATTTCAGACGGACCAACTAAAGTGTATCCAGGCTCACAAAAATACAAGAGTATCGCACCGTTGTACTTGGGCGCCATTACGGCGTGCTCTGGCATAGGTGGCTCGTGACATTCCGTATCTGTTGCAACAGGGCAAATTACAAAATCATTAATAACACGTACAAATACCTGGAAACGAAAAGGTCGAAAGATTCGTTCGTGAGAAAATTGCGATCTCTTATCTCCTTGATGCGCAGTTACGACCGAACGGTCGCTATCTTAATTCTGCTGGACCAAATTGAAATATAAATATCCTATCTAATATTTCGTTTATTTTAGTCCTATTACTACCGATATCAAATTAAATACTAGAATTTTAAATTTCTTCTTTTCCTCGTTACTTTAATTCTTCCAAGCTTACGTATTTTGATACCTTTTGTTAAACTATCGTGAGGTGCATGAGTTCTAATTTGTGCAGAACCTGGTAAAATATAAAACAAAAGGAACTATTTATTTCTCGATTTCTTTTAATCACTTTAAATCGTCATTTCTCTACATCTTTATATCAGCTTCGCGTGATTCGACGGAACAATGTATCGAATAATAATATTAAAAAGAATTCGAAAATTATTTTCTTCCAGGTAAATTATTAAAAAAGAAAAATTATTAACAATTAATAATACGATTTTCTTCCAGATAATAAGAACCAAGCTCGAATACACAGAACACATACATCTCCCTCTATAGCGATATTACAATATGAAATCTAATAAAAAGCACACGAACTCATCCTCGACCTTGCAATAATCTTTTACCATAATCCAAAACTACGATTTCATCACTAAAACTACCAATCTGTAAAATACACCCGAATACACCATATCTACACGAGCAATAATAATTAATTTTTATCAAATTTTTCCATTATTAAAAATCAAATCTAATTCTCCCCACAGGAGCGACTGTACGTTTCCAGTGTACGTTTCCATAAAATGGAAGAACGAGAAGCGTGAAACCAATCGTGTGGACCAGTTTGGTAGTTCTAGCGTGAACGGAGATCCGGCGTTAATAGTTTTATCAAATACGATTAGGAAGCTGTGCTTACTGACGCATACGGGCGTAGGCGTATCCCATTGGCCTCGAATACAAGTGGAATACTTGTTACCTACGAGGGTGAAGCCATCCTGACAAGTGAATCTGATGATTCTTCCTCCTGCTCGCACTCGAACTTTCCCGTTCATCGGCCTCACCACGGGGCATCTGCTTACGGCTTCGGAATCAGAAAACGAAATTACTCCGATTGCCCGTGCAAATCTGTCCCGCGTGGCAAAATCGAATTTCGCGGGCACGACGCGTTCCGCCATGACAGCCGGGAGAAGAAGAAGCGGTCATTGATGACCGAATCGAATCGAGTTTCGATTCGAGAATCGCTACCAAAGATGGCAGAAAATTGACGAAGAGAGAGAAACACCGAAAAACTGGAAATTAAATTTCCTCGACTCTCTCGCTCTCTCTGCAATTTCAAATTCGTAATTTTCCCGCCATTTTCGTCGCGGAATTTATTTCGTCTAAATAAAGATGGAAGGTAGGAAGGAAGAGACCGGAGTGTGGTTGAGCGTTTGATAGAGCGGAAGTGGGATTAAAGGCGAGATAAAGAAACGTTGGATCTTTCGTCTTTCTCGTTACCGAGCTAAATGGGAATCGAAGAGATATCGAGAGATATGGAGGATCCTTGATTCGTTTCCCGCTTCGATACACGAATGATTCAACGTTGGTCTTTCCTGGCAACAATGACTACCCGATAAACGCTGCACGTAATTTTCGACGTTACACAAAGGCGGATCGAGATCGATAAGTCGGGTGAAATTGGATTTTAATTCAACGGGGAAACCTCTTCGTTCTCTCGCCGAAGAAATTGCACTCTGAAAGCGAAAGTACTCCCTTACGCTTGGAAGCTAATCTTCCTTTCCTTTAATCCCCCTTTTGATCATTTTTTTTTTTTTTAATCGGAGGAGGAGAATGGAAACGAGGTGGAAAAGGTGTAATCGAGTTCCTTGGTTCACGTAAATAATTATAACGCGATGTTCCACTGGATAAAGCTGCTCTTCGTTGAAGAATTGAAAAATTAAAATTAAAATTATTTTCCAATCGAGCGAGTCATTTGCCACCGTTGATTAAACGAATCGAGAAATAGAATGGGAAATAAAATATTTGTCAAACCAGTGGAACGATGATGGATCTTCGAGCAAGCAGATGAAATATTGCAGGATGCCAATTTCTACTTTTCCTTCTCCATTTAGGCAACGAGAAGATCGAAACACTTTTAGTTACCGCAAAAAACATAGCTCTCTTCTCCTTTGCTGAGAGAGTGGGATTTTACAGGAATTGCGAAACCCAATGAAACGTCACTTACACTTCATATAGCAAACAGCGTGCTGCGCGAAGAAGAGCAGAAGAAGAAACGGCGTGGTCGAGGAGATCTTCATCCTGAGAACGTTTGCTCCTCGTGGAAGCTGATGGCCGTACTCATAACTTCAGAACCGAATCTGAGAGAGGTGCTCGTCCTGCCGCTCGCAAACCGCGTTTATTCGCTCGATTAAATTCCCGTGCACATGTCGGAAGAAGCACCACAGGTGAAGAGAAGATGTCGAATGGCGCGGACGAAGATCGTGGAAAATACTGAGAATGGTCAGACGACACGCACCGGACAGGGAATAAAAAGTAAAATCGGCTGCCGATCGTTCCGCATCTATGAATGGAATAGGGGTGCCACGTTTCGAAGTTATTCCACTCCGAATGGAAGGCGGGATAACTTCCGTCGAGTTGCTGCCTTGATAGTGTTCTATCTGCTTCCGGCCGTTATCATACATCGAACATTGCCAGGCCTTGAAGAGAGTTCCTACAAATTGCATTTTGCGCCTGAGATAAATAAATTCCATCAGAGAGAAACACTGACCGCCTCCGATTAGATCACGTCCTGGCGCCAGGATTCTTTTTTCCTTTTCTTTTATGTCAGTACCATGGCTGGAACCCTGGCACAAGGGTATCCCTGATGCCTTTCGCGATACCCATGGGAATTTTTGATTCCAGGACAGGAAGAGGTCGGTGAGATGGTAACTGCTTGGAGATGTTAGAAGATTTAAATAAGGTACGTAATGTTTTATTCTTGTTATAAAATATTTCCTTGCTGGATAAATTTAAAACAGTATTATGTACAAGGGGTTACAATAGAGCAACAATTGATAGGGTAAAACATGTTTATAAATGTTAGATATTTGCTAATACTTAATTATTTCAATAGACAAATTCGTGTAATTAAAATGTTAAAATGTTGGGGCTCGTATTTATTGTAAAACGCGATATTTATTAACAAATTTTCAGATAAATTATAAAGCAATATGTACAAGAAATTACTAACATCCGAGAATCTGGAATTTTAAGTTTCGGTTTTCAATGGGTATGTATTCGATTGATTTGACGATACCGGTGTTATGATACAACACCAGTTTCAGATTTTTAATGATTGGAGACATCTAATTTGCTATTAAATAGCGATTTCATCGTGACCAAAAATTTGTTATGATTCTCGCTCTTTTTGGGTTTCGTCGAAGATGGTTGAACAACAGATTTCTCGAAATTTGACATCATGTCTAACTGCTTTATAGGGACACCTGTTCCGAATTGCTCGGTTTGCGATTGTGGCATTTTGTCAAAAATAAATGTTTGTTTTATTCGATTCATAGCTTCTTCTGTAAAAAAATTTCATTACGATTAATAAATTAATTACTCCATTATTTGGAAATTAGATAAGGTCGAAACAATACTGTGGAGGTATTCAAGAAACTGAAATCTACTGATGACGGAAAATGAATAATAAGCTGGACGGAAATATAAAAATTCTCGTGGCCTGATAAATGGAGACAAAATTAAAATGACTCGTATCTCGAGAACAAAAAAAGATATAACAAGGGTATCCATGAAAAGGAAGTTTCAGAATTAGCACGATCATACTGTTTTTAAAATAGAATGTATTCATACTTACGTTCATTTTCATGAAGAACAAAGTTATCGAAGGCACTTAAATTCTTCATGAATAAATGGAATGAATCTTCGATATCCGACAATCGAATTACAAAATCGGGATCACATATTGCTAAGTGAGACAAGAATCTTATTCCGGCTCTCAGTACTTTTGACTGTTTCCTCTTCATAATTGACCAAGTGTCTTCGTCTGAAAACTTATCTTGATATATTTCACGTATACACATCTTGCTGGTCGCTGTGTTAAACGACGAGTGTTTGGCACAAATGCTTTTCAAATTGCAAAAATCTGTCTTTCGCACAAGAAAACTGTTTATATTAAAGTTTCCACTGACTTCTAGATTTGCCTCAGAACATTTACACAGTGTTTTAATAGTGAATCTTAATAACTTCATGCAACAATTACAAGAATTCAAGGTTTCTGATCTCAAAGGAATAATATCCGTGTGTAATATATATTGTACAAATTGTAACAATACATCTGTAATGTCTATTGCAGCTAGTAGATCGAACTGATGATTTTCCACCTGTGCTAAAAAAATTTGCAGCGGACAGGCATCTAAAACGGAAATTTTCGAATTTGTTATTAAATTAAAATTTACTTAAAAGAAAAAAAGATTAATTTACCTGGAGTAAAATGTAAAGAACCCTTCCAGTTGTTCACCGCCATTGATTCTACAAACACGATAATAATTTCGTTACGAAAATTATATTTTTGCTTACATTTTTTCATTATTGGTGTAATATACCGATATAAAATACTTTGTAGAAAAATAATACTCATTATTAGTATAACAAATTACATACGTGAATTAATACAAAGTTTCTTTAAATACGTTGTAGACTTCACAAAAATCATCATTAAACTGCTGACTAAAGAGTAACAATATGGTAAAGGTCTACAGAATACTATTTCCTTAAATATCTGGTAAATATATTCCAGTCTGAAACAAAAAAAAATTTTAATAGAAATATATATTTAGAAATGTACAAATATTATTTGCGTACCCTTCAGAACAGTAATCGACTTTTTTATGTACATTGTAAACAACCATCATAATTGCACATATAAGACCACTAAATTGATGAGACCTTCTCTAAAAATAATAAAAGTTTAATATTAATAAACAATCATTGTCTTTCATTATCAACTTATGTTTCATCTACATTACCGTAGTTCCAACTAAAACAACGAAATGCAATATCATCTTAAGCATCTCAAACTCATGATCTTTTTCCGACCATGTATTATAGCGAACCATTTGACATGAGTAAAGCTTATAAGATTCGTCCCTTTCTACGAGTAAACGTGTTTTTCCTGCAATATACTTGCTGAGGTAAGTCGATTCCAAAGCTACGTATGACAACAAGCCGAATACTCTTCTAGTTTCGACACCACGTTCGCATTCGTGCCATGCATTCGCAGAACATACACATTTCCCATTGAAGTCAGAACTCGAATATAAGGCAGAAAAATAAATATCGTTCATATCTCGAATATCGTCGTTTTTCATAGCTTGTGAAATTGTTTGAAGAACAATTATTATATTTAAAATTAATTCCCTCGCAGTAGAAACTAACTAAAATATTTTTTTTTTGTTAAAAATAATTTGTGAAAATAATATAAGTTATGATAATAAATAATTTACTTTATTTGTTATCGGTATAATATTTTCCGCCTCAAGTTCTGAACTTGTTTTTCGCTGAAGAACAGCTATTTCCGGTAAAATAAATTCCACCGATAATTTCTTATCGTCTATTATAGTCGTTACAGGTTTTACTAATTCCGGATTTTCTGTAAAAAAAAAAATGATAAAAATATAATTCATTTTTAAGTGAAATAAAAGACATAAAGTAAAAACTTCAACCGAAAAAAACTTTTACCGAATATTCTAAATGTATTTTCCTCTTGTAAAATAGGCAAATTTCGTCTTCCAGTTTTCTCTATAATTTGGATATCAACTACAGACTTCTCCGATTGCGAAGGATCATATATTGAATTCGGAATTGCTCCAAGAGGAAAATCTGCAATATGTCCTTATTAAATTTTTCATTAAAATTATTAATTTCCTCAAATTATAGTCCACTTACATGGATTCCATATTTTAAGAAAATAACTACTTTTATTCAGCATGTTGGTTTGTATACAAGCTTCTCTGACTTTTACTGGTTTTGTAATTGAAACTGATGATCTAAAATCAATTATATTAAAATATGAAAGAAAAAATATATTAAAAAAAAAAATATTTTATTTATTTACCGATTCATTAGTGAATTAAATTTGCTTTTATTCATAGGAACATTTAAATTTATAGTATGTGGTTCTGTTAATTTAACACTTCCACTTTCTAACAATTTACAACGTTCCATTAAGTTTCCTACTTCAAATGTCTAAAACAGGAAGAAAAAAATCAGAATTTATCGTATAAAATAGAATAAAAAGATTTGCTATTCATAAATACTAACTTGCAATTCAAATTGTGTCTTTAAATATTCCTTCTCTTTACAAATGGCATTAATTTCTGACCTATGTCGAGTTTCTTGTTCTTCAATAAAACGTGTTCTTTCTAATCTATCATTCTCTGCTCTTAACTGAGTTTGCTGCAATTGATTTCGTAAAAATACTGCTTCTCCCTCTTTAGTTATAAAATCATCTAATAATCTCTTATTTTCAAGTTTTAGCTTTTCCAGTTCTTTTGTATATCCTAATTCTAAAATTACAAATTATAGAATATAATAATATGGAAAAATATGATGAAAAAGTCAATTTTCTAAAATATAGTGTCCTGCAATATTACCTGAAATATCATTACCATCCAACTTAAATGTTGAATTATATACTTTTTTATTCATTAATTTATCTTCAAATTCTTTATAATTAACAGAAACTACAGTACTCATATCTTTTAAGTTCTCTACTTCTTTCCTATGATTACTATATTGTACTGCATATGTAGAAGCTTTTGATAATTTATAATTATTACCATTTAAATTAGAAACATTTCTACTAGTAGATGGTGTACTATTATATCTCTGTTTAAATGGGGATATTTGGTCTGTGTTAGGTTGACTTATAACATTATCTTCCTGAAAATTAAATAAACGTGATAAACAATTACACATCTATATAAGAACCTAAATAGATATAAAATGATCAAATATAAGCAATACCTGTAAGCAAGCTTGAGTTGCTACAAAATCCATTTCTTCAATATCTTCATCAGCAAAATCATCTCCCCAAACATCATCTGACTTTCCATGCTTTTTACTTGTTGACTCTTTATTATTTATAGAACTATTTACTCTCTTTATGTCATACTTTGGTCGTTTGGCAGGTAGAGAATGTTCATTCTGTCTGTTAACTTCTATTCGTTTAAACATTTTAACTTGCTTCAACTACAATATACAGTAAAATAAAAAAAAAATTTAATTATATTTAATATGTAATCCTGTTATTTTTGGTATCCAATTGAAGATACTTACATCATATATTATCTATTAACCTTATTTATTTGAAAATAATAAAATTGTTATTTAGAGCTACAATTTTTATGAATATTCCATTTCATTCAACTTTTAATAATACGATAAATAATTATTATAAAGTATCATCTCTTTCTTTTGAGTACTCATTCATTCTAACCCCGTAATTATTTTATAATTCCTGCTAAAATTGCCAGAATAATATAAAAATTTGATAAAGATGTAACAACTTTGTACTGCATGATACGTATGAATTTATTATAGAAGCCTGTTAGAACAATTAGAATGTCCGAAATTCATTTTAAACCAATAGTACAACAAAACTTTACTTTCAAAACGTACTGAGAGATGATATCATTCTACCTAAAGTAACGTATTACCAACATAACAGTGTAATTTAAAGACTAGTGGAAAAATATGTCAAACTAGTTCGTTTCTCCTATATAGAAGAAAAAATAAAAGACTCTATTCTCTATATAATTTAAATCGATAATAATATAAATAATTAATACTACAGGCAAAGTATATCCGCTGTGTATTCCCTCTTGCAATTTCGTTATATGTATATGTAAAATATAGAAGAGACGTATCACTCAATGTATCTCATTGTCTCACCATTTTAGTATTATTTTTAACATTAACGATTCACACGGAATAAAATTAAAATTTTAGTATTATTCGAAACTATTAAAATTAATTTTAGCTATGAGATTTTAAATAAGGTAGATGAAAGTATATTTCATAATACATAATACATTTTTTAATTTATGCAGAGAAATACAAAATGAGAAAAAACAAAGTATATACAAACAGAAATAACTTTATGAGATAAGAGGCATAAGATACTAGTAAATGGAAAAATTAACCCAACGATCAAACAAAAAATCAAGTTTAAAGATAATGAACCAATAATCAAAAAATATAAATCTTAAATCAACAAAAATTTACTTTGACGCGTTTGTCCTAAATGTATTTATATTTTTTCAGATTTTTCAAAGGAAAATTGTAATTTAACATTAGAAAAAAATATAGATTAGGAAACTTGAAAAAATAAGGTGCTTTTGCTCATAATTTAGACAAAAAAAATTGAATAAAACTGCGTAGGTTGATCTCGATGATTTTGAAGTATGTTATAAAGAACAAGACTTTTATGTAAACGATAATTCCTACTCAGTCTTAATTTTCGATATTTGCAAATATTACTATTCCATTCATTTCTGTCTGTACATACATGTTCTGAATGCATTACATCAAACGTGCGTCATCTGTGAAGAATCATTGCACGCCTCACAGTGTCCGAAATACTAAATATAAGAATAAAAATAGTTAAATTTAATCAGTCATCAGTGATATAATAATTTTCATTCTACATCGTACTAGTAAAACTATAAATGACACAAGGATAGTAAGGTTGATATTATATAGTTGGTAGAACAGTGAAATTATAAATTAAAGCATCTTATAATAGTACCGTCAAATTTCAGATTCAAAGTCATTCATGATCAAATATTTAATATCATTATGTGAAAACAAATTATGTATTTCTAAAATGTGCCTTCTAAATTATTATAACGAAAATATTATACCTAATTTTTTTTAAATATATCACAAACAAAGAAGCAGTTTTAAATTGGTTTGATATAAACCCGACTAAAATTCTTTATTTGTTGTATCCATGCTTGGAACATTTTAATATCTGACCGATTTTAGAATCTTATTATATCAGTACCACAGACTATATTTTATGATTATATAATATTTATCTGTAACCACGTGTTGTTTAAAAAATGGTTGTTTATTACCTGATATTATAATCTAAGACACATGATAACTTGAATTATATAAATATTACTTGATATTAATTTTTTGAACGAGATATTACTTATTAAAAATAAAAATTACGTGCAGGATTAAATTTATATATCTTTGGTTATGTTACCATTTAATTTTAAACATGACTGAAATGTTATATGAAATAAAGAAAATGAAATTTAAAAAGGAATTTTTACACAGAAAGACACTTACAAATGTATTATGACATTTACTTTATTGAAATTGTACCACAGATTACATAAGTAAAAGATTTATATTACAAGAAATTAGGAATGATATTTAAACTTATATTCAAATTATAATAATCATTGTGTAATTTCTAGTAATAATTTGTATTGCTTTTGTTATTGTATTAGAATATATATTTAGGCATTTGCAATTCCAACAACACCACAAGCGATACGAGCACCAGCATTTCCTGTAGTTTTTGATAATTCTACTCCACCTTTGCCAAGATCATCTGGATCAGCATGAACCTGTAATAAAAAAAAAATTAAATTATATCTACTATATATACAACATACAACATAATTAATTATAGAAATTCATAAAAAGGTATTACACAATACTTACTACAAGTGTTCTGCCAATTATGCTGTGTGGCCCTTGAAGTTGGATGACCTTGTCATTTATGTTAACACTAGCAACACCACTTGCATCTGCTTCAACATTTCCCAAATCTCCAACATGACGTACATCTGAATCAGGACCACCATGATCCTTTTTTAATGGATTAAAGTGTGCACCAGCACTTGTACAACCTGTTAAATGTATAAAAGTAATAATATTATAAATTTCAATGTGTATTTATATAAAAATTTCTTCATTACATATACAAATAACAACTATTTATGTCTAACAAGGTGGAATCATCTCATGGGTTAATATTTAATAAAATTAAAAAATTTTAGCAACAAAGTATTACATCTGTTTTTCAATTAATTATAAAAAATTTTCAATGGGTATCAATTATTAATGTAACAAGATGAAATCTTTTATAAAAATTGAAAAATTAAAAATTAAGATTTATTTATATTTACATGTTATTATCTGTTGACCTTTAAAATCCGTATCTGTTTCAAATGTCATCAAAGTTCCAACCAATACAATCTTTTTATGAATTAAACTGTACTTAATTATTATCAAAAAATTTGTAACGTCAATTACAAAGAATAAGATCATGAAACTATAAAATACTGACAATAATGCATACCATTAGTGTTATCGCCGAATTCATGAATGTGGAAACCGTGCAATCCTTTCTTTAAACCGGTTACCTGACCGGTGACCTTGACTGCAGCAGCATTTTCCTATTCAACAATTATAGTACAGAAAATAAGACAATATATATACAAGATAGAATAATACATTAAGTTAATATAATCAAAAAAATTATTTACCGGTTGTTCAAAATAGAGAGTGCCTTTGGCTTCACCCTGAAGGACGCACACGGCTTTAACCATCTTTAGAAGTTTCTCGACTACACCGAATGACAATCGCTTGTAAAATGTAGTTCTTCGGTAACAACTACCGTTTAGTTATGAAATGTAATTATCGTTTTGCTGAATCACGGACGCAAATACAGTGACGTATCGTATATTGAGCACGTCGGCTGATAAAATGATGACCTTACCGTTTAGCGAAAGCAATGAAGTATCATACGACGTTACAATCAATGACCATTAACGTACGTAAATACAGGATGAGCAGAGAAACCATTTGAAGTTACGCTACGCAAAGAGAAATTATGAAATAACTCGGTAGTTTGAAGTTTGCACTCGAGATGGCGTTATTCAGTATTAATTACTAGGGTAATTTTGACATATCACTTATTACATTACTGTGATTCCTTTCAAATCGATTTTTATATAAAAATTGTATCATACATACAGAGTACGTGGACTGATATTGATGATTTTGAAATATATTATAGAAGATAATATTTTTAATAATTTTTTGTATTTTTTTTAATTTTATATTTTTCCTCGAAAAACTAGCAGAATTACATTATTGTTTCAAGCTCCTTCGATCTATATTTCTTTTCGATATTAAAATACAGTCATTTTTGAAAAACCAGAGGAAAATCAAATTGAGAGCAAAGTCACTAAAGAAAATCTTCACCATAATTTGGAACTTAAAAATAATTTCGAATTACTAATAACTTCATGCAATAAATAATTATTCTTTTAATTTTCGTATACATGAGATTATTCAAAATAATTTAAAATGTTCATATTGCCGCACTCAATAATTAAAAGAAACGATATCGATACTTTAACATTACATTAAACTATCGAACTTCGAGACTCAGATAATAGCTGATATAGCAGTATCGAGTGTAGCGCTGGTCGTTTTGTATATACAGTGGTTTATATTAGAATTTATCAACTTCGAATTAAATCAAAAGTAATTATTAAAAATGAAAAAAGTTGAACATCGCAGTGTAACTCCATTAGTAGAGCTTATTAAAACTTTTGGTCGAAGTGTAAGTAATGTTTTAAAGTGTTCGTTTAATTTGCGTTTTATAGTGTTAATATTTTTAGATATTATGCAACTTCCTGCTTTTTTTTATTAACATATTGAAAACGTTTTCGTTTAATATCTGCCTTTGTTTAATATCGTTAATACTAATCGTTCAATAAAGTTAAATTTTATTTTAAAGATTGTTTCTATCTTTTTGGTTATGTATCGATTATTATTATATTTTCCAAAAGGAAATTGCGAAAAGTTACGGTTAACGTAACTTTAATATTATGTTTATTTAAAACTTTGAAATAAAATAATAATTTCTATGCATATGTGTATAAAAATAACTTAAAAATTGAAGAACTTTAATGTTAGTGAAAAAATATTTATGTGAAACGAAATGAATGTTACAGAGGAAGGTTGTACCATTTTTAAGATATACAGATGAAATTTCTGAACGTACACAACCACCTCCACATATACCTGATGGACCATATCATAAAACTTCAAAAGTGTATTATTATACTCGTGATGCCAGGCGTCTTGTACAACCACCAATTGTGATATTTTCAGAGAAGCAGCTAGAAGCAGGGTGATTATATTTTTAACTTTCTATATGTAGAAACTAAATACTGAAACAGTTACAAAAGGTATTGTTATAATACTGTTTAATGTAAAGTACATTGAACATAATTTCAGGGTAAGTGATGCGGTGCAAAAAAAATTGAATGAACCATATAAACGAATAGCAAAATAAGTAACATGAATGTTAATTGTACATTGAGTATAGTATATAATAGATAAAATTAATTCAAATATAAGAGTTACGTGTACGAGTAATGAGATATTAATAAGTTATTTGTAATTAAATTATAAATTATTTAATTATTTTCCCATTTAATGTTTAACTGATAACAGTACATAAATAATAAACAGAGGAATGTTTCTCATATACACATTTTCTGCTTGATAGCAGGTATATAGGATAATTTTTCCAAGTTATAATACATTATTGTTACATACATACAGAGCACAATGCTTTCATAAAATTTATGTGAATCGAAGAATAACATTGACACTGAGGGGTTTGTACAAGCAACAGATTCATTGCCGTTGCATCTAACGATATAGTACATGATGTATTCGTTTAACAATTTTCGCAGAAATAATAAATTTCTTCATTATAAATTAACAATCGTCAACGAAAGTCATGTAGAAACAGTAATTTAATAGGGAATTTGATTTTGATAATACTGTATCATGTCGTAAGTTTTCGTACGGAAATTGAGGTAGCTGTTACGTATAACATTGAGCATATAGGCCGCCGCTTCACGATCAGTTGCTGTCGGTACGAATCTGCCGCGTAAAAGTTTAATCGTTTGTCCACGGAAACATGGCAATCCGGTATCAAGCATTAGAGAAACTAGAGAAATAATAGCCTCTTGGTAAGGTCTGCAAAATAATATTATAATTTGATCAAAATTTCTGGAAAAAGCACTATTTCAAATGATGGTGATTGTTATTTCTAAACGAAAAAGAAAAAATGGGCAAGAAGATTTGATTAAATTATTTAACTATTGTATCAATTAATTATGTGTCATTTATATTAAATACTAAAACTTAAAGAATTATGTTTTCAAATCTTTTAAGTATTTATTTTCATTTACCTTACGGCGAGAAAAGCTTGTACACATAATTCCATAAACCAACGGAAAGGTGCAGCTTCCATTTTACCTCCCATTACAAGCACCATTTCATCAGTTAGCTTAATATCAGGCTCAAAGCCTAAATTACCACCAGGCGAACTTTCAAACATGAATCCAAAGTCGATATGTATGATATGACCTTCGGTGTCTAACATAATGTTGCCATTGTGACGATCTTTTATTTGTAAAAGATACGTGATAACACTGTAAGCAGCCATTGACTTTACGAAATTTCGGCGTACGTTTTGAAATTCTTTTGTTGTGTCATCCCCATAACGTGTGACGAAATATTGGTACATATCGATATCAGTCGTGCGACCAAGTTGATCGCGTGAAGTAGCATTAGGTACACATTCTATCACACCGCACTGAAATATGTATTAGTATTTCTAAACCTAATAACATTTATACAAAATGTACATTAAAATTCTTGTAACTATGAAGTTACTTACCCCAGGGGCTGTAGCTACAACTCTATATGGGAACAAGAACAAATTTAAACCAACTTTTTGAAATATATTCTTGAAAATACTAATCACTTGTAAAGCTAACATATCTTGTCTGACATCATCTCCAACTTTAAAAATAGCAGCTTGCCATGTTTCTTTTACTGGATCTCTTTTAATATCCACTTTGCCATTTGTTGATACTGCTAATGCAATATTTTCTAATTCGTTAATTCCATATTTTTGTACTTTAAAACGCGCCAAAAATGGTGCTTTTGCGGCACTGCAAATACAATAATATATCAAATACTAATAACTACAATACAAAATATTCTTAAAAAATAATATAAATATTTACCTCTGCATAGGAGTGCCACTTTGATAATCAATATCAATTACCATAGCTTCAGGATTAGACGGTAAATAGCAACCAGGTTGAACTTTGATTTTTGATAAAGCTCTTAAACACGCTGCTTTGCGTTCAGGGCCTTTAGGATATAGCCTTATTTCGCCTGAAATATTCGTAATTTTTTCGAAAAAGTCGAATTCTCTTTCATAGAACTGCTTTGCTGGACCAGATAACGATCCTAAAATACATTTTACGAGCGAATCTAATATATCATATAGAACAGGATCTATTTGTTTATCTTCGTCTATGTACATATTCGTATGCATGTTCCAAATTAATTGATGTGCTACTACCTATATCAAATTAAGAATAATAATCAAAATAGTAATTTTGTAAACAACAATAATGAATGAATAATACATGTAACACTCACTTGTGAACGCTTAGCGATCTTCTTTATAAATTCTATCACATAACCCATAGTATCATGACGTACAGCTTGTACAAGTTGTGGTATGTAGAAAAGTACAGCATCTGCTGGATAGCTACTTAGCACCTCTACTGCATATTGTGCAGAGATTGGATGATGAGGGAATTGACGAGAAAAGTACGCTAGAGCTTGAATAGGCGACACTCTCTCCCATGTTAGCATATACACCAACTAAAAAAATATATCGAATTAATAATTCAAAATGTGTAACTACATAAAATTTTCGAAATATTATTCAAGAAATATCCTTACTTCAGGTACATCATTAAGTAAAGTATCAGTCGTAACGAGATATTGTAAAGCTTCTGGGACATGCATAACTGGTACAGGTTTAAGACGAACAAGACCACATACTTCTTTAATAATAATTTCTGAATTTTTCAATCGAACTGGTAAAAATATAGCAAGAACAGGACTAATTTCCCACGCAAGGCGTGTATATTCTCGCCACCGATCGTTCATACCCTTAGCGCGCCATTCTGCAATACTTGATTCACCTGGAAGCGTAAGTTCTTGTCTTCCACTAGGATTCCTCCAAACCTGTCAAAAGCACCAAGGGGTATTAAAACATTTAGAAAAACAAATATAGACTGCAAAATTTAACTTACCAATAACATCTCTATTTCAACTGCTAGTAGTTCAAGAATCAAGTTTCTTTTCTTTATATAATCTTTTACGAAAACGCTAGCATTCATGACACGCTTACTACGATTACTACGTTTACCCAGTGTATTACTACTGGTAGACATTGGAACTGTATTAATCCATACACTCGTCGATGTTTTCGAATATTCAGTATTTGTTGTACCTAAAGCTGTACTCAAAGAGCTAATTGTTTCACTAGCTCCAAAACCACCAGTTGAACACGATTGCGGTGTTAACATTTCAAATTCACTTTCATTACCTGTCATTACTAAATATTTTTTATCACTGTGCATTACCTGTAAAACAATGAAATGAATATTACTAAGAAAAAGAACCAATATTTTTTAAATTGCGACTATTCTACTAACTTGCCAAAAACGGATAAGTGTAACTAAATCTTCATGAAGTTGTTCTAATTCTTGCGTTGGTACTTGACGATCACGACAGAAATAATCCAAACAATTACAATATACGCGTTCTCGTAATACATTTTTGCTCAATGTCCTATGAACAAAATTTATTACTTGCTCGGTTACTTCTAAAGGCATTGAGTTTCGTATGCAATATGGTACCTTGCTAAGATATCTCCTTGAAGAAGAAGTAGTCCACAAGAAAGCAATTTAAAACGCACTCCAACCGCAGCAACGTGACGACTCATTCCAGGTTCTTCGCCGGAAGCACCAACAGTCATGGGCAATGACCGATGTAACAATGTAACAATCATATCAACTGTTTCTTGACAACAATATTTAGCAGTTTCGATTAACTCTACAATAAATGTAACCCAAATATCGTGAGGTTTCACTTGCGGAGGATTTGGACCTAACTTGCAACCCTCGTATACTGCTAACGGACTAACTTCTTCTTCGTCGGGCGCAAATAATCCCATTCTTTTGTCAACGGTATACTGCCATGCTACGAGCATTTCTTGTAAGAATCGCAGCTTTAAATCTGGCCGCACAGTGAGTATCCACTGCCAACATTCAACTGCTGTGGTCATAGCTGCAGGAGTGAACAATTCAATTTGAGAAGAAGCTACTGTATGCAATAAACGTCTATGTGTCCCTGTAAATGAAATTAAGATATAATGAATTGGAAAATGAGATTAAGTAATTTTCAAAAATATGTTGTTTTCAATTACCAGGCATAGAGATTAATAATGCAGTGGCACGCCAAAGAGCACTACGATGATTTACATCATTTCGAGCACGGCAAGCCATCCATACAGCATCAATTAACAAATCAACAACTTTGTTTCTGATTTCTTCGAATGATATTTCAGAAGTAGATGATTCGGTTTGCGCCAATGATAGCATTCCCGCTATTTCTCCAGCGTATCGTGATCGTGTCGACATCATTGATAGAAGCCAAGAGCTGGCTCCTTTTGGACCACGAGGTCTTTTATCTAATGAATTAGTCTATAACAAAGACATTTTATTATTTTTAAAATAAAGTATTTTTAGGTATTAAAAATATTATTTTACATTTGGTAAAGCTGATGCTGGAATAGCAAGGTCCACAAATTCTAGGACCGAATCCGTTGATAAACATAAACCAGAATGATGTTTTAATCCAGAAGATGGAATTTGGTTTACATATTCCTGTAAATGTGATCTAGTGGCTTGAGGTGCCCATTTCATGGCTTCTTGTACTATACCCTTACACCTCGCAGTGAAATCTTTCACGATGGTCTATATAGTACATTGATATTTAATTTCAATATTTGCGTAATTTGAGTTTATCATGCGTGTATTATTAATATACGTACTTCTCTTGCCTCAAGTGTATCCATAAGTTCAATACTGTATGGTGTACTAGGTATTCGTAAAATTGGTGTCTCTTCGTTTGGATCAATTTGCAACGAGAATGATAAAATCTATACAAATAATAATGTCATCCAGTATAATAATACATAAATGTAGAATAAAAGGGAATTCATACCTGTAATATATCCAACATACTCCAAAGTACTTTGCAATTCCATAAAAGATGCGGAAATGCATCTACCAATGCACTAAGATATTTATCTGCTATCCGTCTAATCTGCTTATGTACATGATTAAAATAAACCAGAAGAAATTGAGCATGATTTTCGAGCTCTTTTTCACGTCTTTCATCTTTCGGTTTACGCTGCATAACATCTTTAAATTTTACAAAGACAGAGTCAGCAACACAACATATACATTGCCACATACCACTTTTATCTTTCTGTAGATCTGTGTCGCACAAATATTCCATTATTGGTTGTAAACTAGGTTCAGGACTATTGGCTACTCTCAATGTCTCTAACCAATAGACTGATAATAAATATGTGCACTGTGCAAATTGTAATTTTGTTACATATTGCGATATATCGTTAGTTCTGTGAAAAAACAGTGGTTGTATTATTGTATTTCGGAATAAATTTACAAAAAAAGCGAAAAGAATATATACCGAGTGCTTATTTTTAACACTTGACTCCTTAATTCTTGTAATTCATTCAAAGAAACGCTATCATTTCGCACAGCAGAGGTATACTGCAATTCTCTCATTTCAAGTCGTGCACTAGTTTGCGAAATAAGATAAGGCGATTTTACAGCGATTTCTTTGACGCCTTCATGCCATTCTCCAGGCCACAATCTTGATGCCTGATCACCGGCAAAACCCATTACCACACAATAAAGCCAGAAATCTTTAAAAAGCTTTAAAAGTCTTTTTTGTGGGTGTCGTATAGGTGGAAGCCGCCGCACTAATATAGCGATTACAGGAATAAGTACACCTAAATTTCCTGCACTACTTGCTGCTTTCTAATATAGGATATAATGATTAAAACTCAATTTTAGAAACTTTCACACAATTACTAAAATCATCAGTTTTAATTACCGTTACAGTAATATTATTTGACGCCTTATCACTGGCGCGTTTACCCTCTAATCCAAGTTGAACGAAAAGTTCAAGCAAATGAAGAAGTAAATCGTCCAATTCTGTCTCACCTTGAAGATTTGCTGCTATATTTGCAAGAGCATTTGTGACTGCCTTTGCTACGTGACAATACTGCTTGCGATCATCGTTCGAAGCGTAAGTTGCTGTACTCGAGCCCAGTGACATAGAGAACATTTGCATTATACCTTCGTAAATCTGAAAATAAAATACATTTTTGTATATTATTATGCTGCAATTTTTATACGAAGTTGTAACTAATTTACTTAATAGTTACTAATTTTAAACCGAACCTTTGATTCGCATTTTGCTATGATCATACATCCTAGTTGATCCACTATCAGAAAATCAAGATCACTCGGGGTGCGACAAAATAATTGCTGGAAAAACGGAAATATTGTACGCATAGTTTTTGGAGTGTCTTTCAATGCAACAGCAACGTGTCCCAACATGATTACTATATTTTTCGAAATTAATTCGCTATTCGTCCTATCATCGGATTCACTAAAAGTATTGAAATAAATAAGTAAGATATAAAAACAACGATATAAATTCAAGAAACTGATTGAGATATAAAGCGATACCCGTCACATATATCGGCAGCGAATAATCTATTCGACACACTGGCAACTAATGCCGGCACACAATCTGGATTTACAGAGTGAGCAGCTTCTAAAGCAATACAAAGATTGCCAATAGCTGCATCTCGCAGTTTTTCAAATGCTGTTTGTATCGAGGAAGTAGTTTGTTTTGGATCTTGTATATCTTTTCCTTAAAAGTGGTAATTTTATCATTGAGTTTATATATTACATTGATAGTAATATAAAGTTAACGTTTATTGGCAATTTTATGCTACCTCTTTCGCTTTGTTGACGATGTAATTTAAGTAGTATGGGCGATGGAACAACAAGAAAGTCTCGAAGGTAATATATAGACGTACTTGCTATATTAGGAAACTTTTGCGCTAATTTTCCTAATCCTTCAAGGCATACCATTAATAAAGGCATATGTGCCAGCACCAATTTTGGTCCATGATTAGAATTAATTTTTTCAACTAAACGACCGCATAAACTATCCGCACCTGTAAATAATATTTAAATCCATAAATAACATTTGCAAATATATGTACACTGTCATTCGTGGATTTGATAACTGTTGTTAATTCTAACAAATCCTTCCAAGAAATGAAGAGCTCTGTATGGAAATTAATCTCTCAGTAACAATGATTTAAAATAGCAGTGCATAGAAGTATATATCGTGGTAATGGTCTTGCCTATGAATATTTGTTTTTCATTTCTGCATTAATAATTGGACAAACAGTTAGAATGAGCTAAGAGAATTACGTTTAGTAGAATAACAATCAGATCAACAAAGGTCACAGGAGAACCGCGTTAACGCACTATCAGACTAGGAGGTGTATTCGTTAGTTAAAACTATTGAAGGTTATCATAAATGTAGGACAATCAATCGAAATGCAATATAAGCTAAATTCGAATACCCTCGCCAATCAGCATCGAACTGATATCTGCGAATAGCGCGGACAAATCATACTGGTCTCTCACTGGAAAAATAATGTAATGATCTATAGATAATCCTACCGACACAGAAGACTTGGTTTTAAATAGTAATTTTACTAAAACATAACAAGATTATTAAAAACATATGTATATGGTTTTTCAAACTATATTCAAGCACTGATTTATAGTATTGCTTACCAGTTTCATCACCAATTGCCCAAACAAGAAGATCAACACACGCAGAATTAGCCATAACGTTTACTTTAAATCTATTTACAGTTCGAAAATTAGTATCCATATCTTCACGTTCACTTGCATCATGTTGACGTGATTGTAATTCTGTCTGGCCAGATAAAAAAAGCCCCTTTACAAATTCTTGCACATCCCTTGTGAAAGGAGTAGGCAAATCGCGTTGATTTTGTAATAATTCCCGTAAAAGGGCGACCATTACTAGATTCATTGTCTCATTAAATGTTCGGTAAGGAAATATTTGCACCTGACCAGAGTTATAAACCTGCAAAGCAAACAAGTACATAATCAAATTAAACCTACAACGCAATGATATAAAATTTTATTATAAAATAAAGTAACTAACTTGCTCGGCTTCTTCATCAAGAAACGTTAAAATTTCTTTAGTCAGCAATTTCTTTGCTAAAGCTAGTACACTTTGCAAATGCACTACATTAAATTGCATACCAGCTCTTCTTTCAGGGCTCTCATTGCATCTCATTTGTGGAAACTGATTGAAACTTGATCCATATCTACTAAAAAAATACGTGGCCGGATCGTAGGGTATTGATAAATAAGACCGTAACGACGGTCGTTTGGCACAGGGATAATCGTAATCCCCGGTCAACAGACTAGGTGCAGTATCTATAGCCGAATGAGGATTCAAGTTACCACTTAACGACCGAGGAATAATCGGTCGAAAGTTCGAAAAACTATGTTGCTTTTTATCTGATGTTAATCGCATTTCTGCATTTGGTATTGAGAGGGGTGGTTCTGGTCTTGGAAAAATACGACAAAGAAGAGGTGGATCGGTATACGCAAAGCGACCCATAGATCGAGCTAAGCCTATTAACACAGGAACTAAACATTTACACAATGATACTGAAAAAAAAGGGCAAAAATATGATTATAATTATATATAATTACATAAAATATATTCAATGATAAAAATACATACATTTTGCTTGCATTCCTCTATTGCCATTTTGATCTTTATATCCCCTAATGAGATTTGTTAACACTGCCAATATTTCTACTTGAGTAGAAATTATTTCTTCACGTACAGGTTCACATCTAGCTGCAACATCACTAAGTAATGTGTTTAAGGAAAAGCTAAAACGTTCAGCAACAGGAATACGTTCACTAGGTGAACATTTGACTTCATCCAACCACACAGCTTTTGGAAGACCACGTAATAATCGTAGAAGATAAGGTAATATTTTATCCCGATGTTGTAGACCAGATTCCAAAAGGTATATTCCTAATGCAATGGTTGTATCTTGACCTCTTTGATCTAGCCGATATATACCTTGAGCAGATTCTTGTGGGCATAACTTGAATAACTGTGTAACCTATATTAAAAACAAGTTTCTTTAATAATTATTGAAGAATAATTGTTAATAATATTAATACAATATAAATATAACTCTGTAAATCAAATATATGATTTAAGACAAAGTTCCATAGACACAAACATTGCAAACTTTTGTTCCTTATTAATATAAATGGCATTTAATGACATTTATTAATTGTCACTACAGTCAAAATTAATTTTAAGTTATCAATATTATTGTACATACTTTTTTTTTATATAGCCTGAGAAAGGTACAATAAATACTCACATAATATACATTATAATAAAAATCATAATTTTATTTAAAATCAAGTACATATAAATGTTAATTACATAAGAGATTATTATGATATAATACATCATTTCCTTTAAGAATATTTCATATCTGACTTGTTAGTATAATTGTAATTTTTTAATTTATGTATCATATATTAATGTACATTAGATTAACATAATTTAATAGCTAGAATAAAATCTTGCAAATTAATAAATATAAAAGTAAAAATTAAAAGATTTGTCAATAAATAAAAATATACATATTCTGCAATTTTTTATTTGCAAAATTGTGTCTACAAAAACAATTCCTTAAACAATGAAATATGTCTGGAACATATGTCGAAATTCATTTATTTAATAGCATAATGACGTTAATAATTAACTGCAAACATTTCATTAGTGCATTAGATGACTAGTAGATTGTCCTTAGAATTATATCACAAGATGACATATCAGGATATCAGCTGACACGTCCTTAAAATTAACCTAATCCTAATTAAATGTCAAGTTTTTTACTGATATGTAATACGTTAATTTACAATAGATGATTAATAATTAACGCACCTTTTCCCATGGTGTAGGTTTTATTGCTGCTAGACATCTAGCTAAATGTTGGACAGCTTTCGAGAAAAATAATTTCTCGTCTGCCACCATTTTGCCCACTGTCCACTTGCCGTATGATTCCTGTAAATATCGTCTGCTTGTCTCACTGACAGACCGCCTTTCGCTATTCGACCTATCGATTGCTCAAATTCCATATTTAAACTTGCACAAGTTGAAATTTAGTTTATTTCTAAAAATTATCAAACGCATATCAAATTTTAATGACCAAAAATTTAATTTTTTTATATAATCGTGTAAAACAATTAAGTGAATAGCAGTAACTGCATAAATTTATAGTTAGTTATATATCTTGCTATTAAAAATCGATAGTAATTTACAAGTTGATATATCGATTCTGTTTCTTAAAGTCATCGTTTAAATTTTGTGTTAACGGTAGTGATTCGTAAGTGAATGAATATATTAAATAAGATTTTAATTCCAAAACTTATAGATTTTAAATCCTCGCATGAAATTCAAAAAGATTGAGGTGACTGAAGGAATTTATAAAGTTAGTTATATATGTTGCTATTAAAAATCGATAGTAATTTACAAGTTGATATATCGATTCTGTTTCTTAAAGTCATCGTTTAAATTTTGTGTTAACGGTAGTGATTCGTAAGTGAATGAATATATTAAATAAGATTTTAATTCCAAAACTTATAGATTTTAAATCCTCGCATGAAATTCAAAAAGATTGAGGTGACTGAAGGAATTTATAAAGTTAGTTATATATGTTGCTATTAAAAATCGATAGTAATTTACAAGTTGATATATCGATTCTGTTTCTTAAAGTCATCGTTTAAATTTTGTGTTAACGGTAATGATTCGTAAGTGAATGAAGATATTAAATAAGATTTTAATTCCAAAACTTATAGATTTCAAATCTTCGCATGAAATTCAAAAAAATTAAAATTACTGAAGAGATGAATTAATGAAAAAATAGGATTCGGTAAGTGGATTTATTGATAATCTAATTTAATTATGAGATTCAATATGGCTGAAATTGCAATACAATAGCAAAAAAAAAAAAAGAAACAAATAAGTAACAAAATATACTTATGTTTAATTAATAATATTGTAAAATAAATTAGAAATTTTAGTTGTTACTAAGTTGCGCATTTACATGTACATTTCATATTTTTACATACACATATTTATATAACAGCTTTTTGTCCATGATAAGTAGTATTCTAACTTTTTAAGATATAAAAGAAGATTTTTCTTTGATAAATTTATATAATCTTGATTACATCTTTGTATAAACTTCTCGAAAAATTCTTTACCTCCAATTTTGTTTTTATTTTCTAACATATCTTCTATAGCTGCTACTAGTAATCTATGAAGTTCAGAAAGTGCAACAGCAATGTAAATATACTTATTTTTTATTTCGGATCCTAACATTATAGTATTCCCAGCTTCTTTAAATGCTAATAATGTTTGTTCATCTTGTGGTAACCAATTACACTAGAAATAATGGATGAACTCTTTCATTTTTTTATGATTTGCAATTTTTCCAATATTGAATGTTATAATACTTACATTGATAATTTTATGAGTAACAGAAGATATTGCTGATTCTGAATTATCATAAATTTTATTGAGTTTCATATTGTCACTAAGATCAAGAAAAACAATTGTAGCTTCTAGTGGACAATTTAAATAGTCACCATTGTAATAAATTGCTGTATATGCATATGCATAAATTACATTTATCACATTAAATGGAACATTTGGAGAAGCATTCTGTAATAAGGACAATATCCTAAATTTTTTTGTAGTCAAATTATATTTAATGAATTATATAAATATATTTATTTTGGTAATTACCTGTAATTCATTAAATATTGGAACATCTACCAAAGGTGGAAGTTCTTGTATTTGCTCATCTTCTGGTTGCATCTCTTGAACAAGTTTTTTATTAGTAGAATAAGTCCACCATGGAACCCATTGAGGTAGAAATTTCTCTATATCACCATTTTTTATTATGGCTTCAAATTCTTGTTTTTCAGCATCCGTTAATGCAGACCATACTTCATCTGCATTATCTAAATTTATATCATGAAGTCTTTCTTCTAAATCTAATACCTAAAAAGAACATTAGTCTGAATAAAAATAAAAAACACAATATTATTTGTTAACTACATCAATATAAATACAAATTACATCTTCTTCATCATCTGAATCTAAATGCAAGCTTTCATCACCAAACTCATTGTCTATTAATGATTCTATAATTTTTAAATCTTGCTCATGTACTCTTTTAAGAATTTCAGTCATTTTCTTTTTATCTTCTGAGTCTTTTTCTTGAGACTTTAGTTCATCTATTACACATTGCTTATAGAAACTTTCCGAACATTCTAAATGAGCTTCTGATTTATAACACTCAGCACTGCAATATTTTATGTCACATCTTGGACAAGTGTAAGCACTAGGACGTATATTACATCTAAAATCAATAAATAAAATTTCAAAAATAAAATATCTTTTACAACTTTTTTACATTAAAAAAATACATTTCTCATATAATTATATTTTTATTATTAAAAAATTAAATTATTATTGTTCATAAAAATAATAGATAAAATGAGTAAAAACTAGATTAGCCAAACTTTGTAAATACTATTTGAGGTTAGTAATATACTACTTACAGGTTACAAATATTATCCATATTTGTTGAACTTATTTCTTGAATATCCATGATCTTATTGCAAATTAATTTAGAATTTTTATTATTTAATCTACTAATAATAATATCAATGTAATTTTATAAATTTTGAATGCGTAAAATATTTCTCGTGTACTATAATTATCTTTTAACCTTCTCGGTATAAAGCAACAGAGTGTAATTTTTTCTTATGTTATGAAATATGTAATGGGGGGGGGGGGGGGGGGAAAAAAATAAGAAAAAAATGTAGTTCATATGTAAAGGCTTCATATGTAAAATCATTTATTCACATATATCATAAATTAATTTTAAAATTTACAGATACAAAACCTAACCTATTATTCACTTCTTTTCCACTAAAATACCATTTTTCAATCTTTTATAATTAAACTCAGGTCCTTTTCGTTTATTTGTCCACGCTTTAGTATCTACTTTAGATAATATTTGTTCAGGGTTCACAGCCACTTGTTTGCATTTTAACAAATATGCTTTTTCATCTATAATTGTTTCAATTTTTCTTTTATTTTGAAACTTTGGAAATTCTTCATTTTCTTCTTCAATTGTTAAAACCTCAGCTGAAGAATTGAGTAACTTTACACCATAATTGTTGTCCTTATATTCTTTCTCATTAATAATATTATTTTTTTCTTTTTTCTTTATTCGAATAGATCTGAAGAAAAAATGCTTTTAGCATATGAAATATTCACAAAAGTTATTTATTGTAAATAACTTGTATCAATACAAATATTTTGATAGAATTACGTACTTTTCTATTATTTCTTCTAACTTTTTCGCAACATAATTTTTGAATGACTGACTTACAAAATTATTGGAAAATTGCTCTCGATAATTTAAATCTTTTCTTAATGATACTACATTTGTTGTGTTATCATTTGCTATTAAAGCATCATAAAAAGGAACATAAAATTAATTACTGATCATAACAAATTCCCATGATAGAAAGTAAGAGAAAAGAAAATGAAAGTGAGGTTATACTTACCATGTTTAATGGTTTCTTTGGAAATCTCTGAATTTTTAGATGTGTGGTTATCAAAAAATCTATTCTTCAGAAATTGATGATCCGTCGCTTCTTTCATTGCATTTTTTGTTGTTTCATCTTCAGAACTGCTTGAACTGACATTATTTTTATCGAACATTTTTGTTTCAAACGATTCTATATCAATCGATAATCGAATCTAAATTTCTATGGTGTCATATACATTTAAAATATTCCATATGATATTTTTACGTATAAGTTTAATTAGTTACTTCATGAAAAACGTAAAATTAATTATAAATTTAATTAACTCATTGCCGAAATTTGTTTATTAGTTAGTAGTTATAAATTTTTATACAGAATGTGGGTATTTGAAATGTGTGTAAAGATGTTCGTATATTGTACACTTATTCAGTAGGAATAATACCCTTCGTTAGCAATTAAAAACATAAGTCTTAAATATTTCAATATTCGAAAGGCATACAGTGGAGGAATAACTAATTGTTACATACTTTAAGGTAAATTTATAGCTAACATAAAATGTTAAATGTTTCACATACTTCTTTTATTTTAAATAAAAAGAAGATAGATAGCATCGTTTTGATAGAAATATGTGAAAACACAAGAAATGAGTAGCAAATGTAGTCACTGCAATGAAGAATGTAATAAAGGTTATAATGGAAGGTTGATAAAAGGAATCTAAAACGTGATCATAAAATAAACAGAAAATAAACTATACGATGAAACAAATAAAGTATTAGCATCTGAGCCATGTCGTCAGCTTTTATTCATAAATTTACTTTTACTGAATGTTATTGTTTCGCTATAATCGCGTGTTTAATGTCACGCGTACAAAACCTGATCATTAAAAAAAAAAATGTTTGTGAAATTGAAATGGAGGTCATTGAAAGAAATGCAATAGATAAAGATAAAAATACCAATGAAGATGGCGGTGACGATGTTAATGATAATGAAGAAGAAAATGAATGTTTGGAGTACTTGGAAGTGTATCTTAAACATAAACAATGATATATTTTAAAATATTATAATTATTCTCTGTTCGAGAAGAAAACACTTCGACTAAATTATGTCAACGTGTTAACGATAGATTAACAAGAATTACAGGCGCAAATTATCTTCAATCGTTTCTGACCTATTCGATGCTGGCTCGAAAGGAACAATTCGTAGAGACGTGTGGTCTAGAAACTAAATGGACGGGCGAAGTCGAATATTGCCAACGATGTTTATGTACACGATTAATGATCGTTTTTTTTTTGTTTCTTCTGCACTTTTTTCCCTCTCGTCCCCTAATAATTCAATCTTAATCTAAATACATTTAATAATATATTCTCACTTTGCATCATCATCTCTTATACTTTTTTATTTTAGTGCGCTTTTGGGAGGTTTCATGTACACTGTTTTTTTCTGTGTATGTACGTGTATATATGTATGTATATATATGCACATGTATATACATATATATGTATATATTTATATGTGTGAGTGTGGTTTTTTGCATTTGCTTCGTTAATTTAACCGTTATAATTATTTGCTGTTCGCGTCTCTTTTTTTTTTCTTTTCATTAAATTATAACTGCAAAATGTATAAAATATACAAGGAGCAACGATCGCAAGTACATTTTATACAGATACATGATTTTGAACGTAAAGGTGTATGTGTGTATGTACGTATATCTCACTTTTTCTCTCTTTTTCTTTCTAATGTTACCTTTGATGTGTGCATTGGTTTTTTTTTGGCTCATTTGTTAATTTGTTTCTTGCATTTAATTGTTTGTATGTATGTATGCATGTATATGACATCGTATGTATACTTATTATACTTATATATCCTTCCTCATCGTCGTACCTCAATGTACATTAACGTTTTACATTTTATTTTTTATATTTTTTGTTTCTTTGCTAAGGCATTCGTTATGGCAAGTATATTTTAAAAGTGCTGATGTCTAAACGCGCGTGAATACTTAGTTTCTGTTTTTTTCCATTTTCGTACAGTTTATAAAAGTATATTGGCCAGTTATGTAACCTCTAATTAGCCAGCTACGTGTCACTTAAAAAACGATTCGCTCGTTAGAAAAAAAACTAATCTGCTTCATATTTTTTTTTTCTATTTTTTTCGTTTCTTTAGTTGTTGTTTTTGTTGTTGTAGTTCCACTCGTTTCGCGTTTAAATTCAATTGCGCCTTATAATCCGTGGCCACTAATTGTTTTTTTTTTATTCTCTATTTTGCATGCATCTTTACTCTTATGCTCGTTATTCGATTATCTGCAATTTTTTTCTTATTTATCCTTTAATAAAATATATTTAATCGCAGGCTAGAGAACCGGAAACAAGAAGAAATATACGTATATGTCTCAAGAAGTATAATGTATTCCTTCGCTGTAGAGTCTTTTCATACGCATTATACTTTTTTTTCTTTTTTTTTATTATTTTAATTCGCATTTTTTTTTTTCTCAACCGCGACCAATCGTTCTGCAATTATAATTGATGTGGTCGTGACGAAAATCGTCTTCTAATATTTATTTTTCTCTTCTCCTCATTGTACACCGACATAACGAACACGAAGACTTTCATCGGTGTTGTGTGTATGTGTAGACACCTAGTTGCAGATGGTAGAATTATTTCGATTACCCCGTCCCCCGTCCCCCTTCCCTCACACGGTTAAACCCCCACTCTTCGCTTCTTTCACTTTAAACATATCCTTATTTGCTCGAGCCACGAGCTGGCCTAAACGAAATTCATCTTTGCCGTACGCACGCGCGCATATACACTAACATGTACGTGAATACACGTTTATTTTTGTTGTTCTTCGTAATCGCAAAACACAACTATATAATCGCCCATGCAAATGGCGGTTAGATCACTCTTGCGAACAATGGTGTAGCGTTTAGAACGAAGTTTCCGCAAAACAATTCGAGAACTCTCTAGCCGCCATCTTTTGATCGTCTCGCAACGGCTTGTCGAATCGATAGATTAACCTACTACAATCGATACGGTCTATCGTGTATATATGTACGTATGAGTCTTCGTAGCGCGATGCAAGCTTCTTTCTAGAAACATCGTCTGACCTGAATTTATGCATTTATCGAATTGTCGATTATTTCACGCGATATAGAAGCTAGAACGATGGTTGCGGAACCAAAGAAATTGATATATCGCGACTAGAGAGTCAGTGTAATATCTCGTTTGTGTTTCCTCAACGGTTACCGAACAGACATTGTTTCTAGTGAAACTGAAATCGATAGGTGTACGATACGTTGGCTAGATCGATTCGCGCAACGCAAGTTCGTTCTAATGTATATACTGTCTGTTGGCAATGATACTACACCATTGGCTTCATCGTACGACGGAATTACAATGGAACGAAAGTACATGTTAACCGTTATCAATCGCAAACGTCGCTTTTTGTTCGAACACCTTTATAATCGTTCTGCTTCACGTCTTTGAACGATAGAACTCTATTCATCCCGGAGCGATAGGAATACTCGATCGATTTTTAATCCTTTGCGCACTCGATTAAAATATATCGTCTTGATTCGGATTAGGTTGCGATTTCTATTAAGTGAACCGTCTCGTGCGTTCGTAGATAGGAAATTGCTACTTGTAGTTCCTTTGTTTATTTTTTTTTTCTTTTTCTTTTTTCCGGAAAATTTTAAGTTCGAAGGGAAAAGATACGACCGGCTTGTCGAGTGCGAAAAGTTAAACACCGATACGGAACTCAATAATTGAACGATAGTTCGTAATTGCTTCACTTCATTTTTTTCTTTTTATCTGATTCCATATTATTCGCTTTTACAATTATTTAGTGCGTCTCGAACAAGCACCTATATGAGCTCTTAATTTTTATATCCGCTACTACGCTTGCTTTTTTTT